TTATTTGTGTGCTGTGTGTGTGTTTCGGGCTGTTGTTTGTGAATCGTGAATGCTATTATATTTTCTGTGCAAGTGAAGTGAAGTTGTTTGTATTATTATTGCTCTGTTGTCGTTATATGGATAAATGGAGGCGGTGCCTGGATGTTCGCGAGCCGGATGTACTGGTGTGGGTACAAAAAAATCTAATTAAGTTACAGAGAAAAAACGATAATATTAATTGTCTATAACCCTTTAGAAAAGGATCATCCCATGAAATTGAAGACTGGTTTGGTGGAAATGTGTTCTAGATATACTGGAGTAAGCGAATTATCTGTTTTCAAAATTTTAAGAGAGAAGAAAATTGAAGGAGACGTTAAGAAACCTAAAAAATGGGTGCAAAGAAGAAATTAATATTAAATGAAGATGAGAAGAATGCAGTTTGGCGTACAGTATATAAATCATAGAATTTATATTTTGTTTATAATTTGTTAACATTTCTTGTTTGATAGAAAAATAACTTATTTTGTTGAGATTGGTAGAGAATTGTTGTTAGTGTTTTCATTTGATAGAATCATATCATAGGATTTATATTTTGTTTTCATTCTGTAAATATTTATAGTATATCTGTTATACAAGGTTTTTGCTTTGAAACTTCGTTCTCCTTATAAAAAAAAGAATCGTAATGGGGTGCGATGAAGAGATCAGTTCACGTCTGGAACCCTGTTCCTACAAAATTCCCTTTATTCTCATAAACTATTTGTTTTAAATGTAATTTATTATAAATCCAATTCGTTATGTAAATTCCACATATGTACTACATTTCACCTCTGTACGCGCCACTGTTTATTGTTCCCTGCTCTACGATCAAACTCGCCAGGTTAGTATTTGACGTATAACCGACCACTTCGTACACTCGATGCACCTGGCCGACTACAGCTAGTACCAGAACACAGTGCGTATGCGGCGGTATTTCAGATTTTACATTCAATTTCATTTTAAATTTGAAACGGTTCAACTTACGCCTCTTAAAAATGATGACACGATTTTCCTTTGATAAAAGACCGACAATTTTTTGCTCTACTTTGCATCGTATACGATCGTACTATAGGAAGCGTTCGCTGGTTATTATTACGAACACGACCGCTGAGTAGTAATTAGCGTTTTGTATTGGGGGCGGTATGCTAATTACGATTTCGGCCGAGAGCTATCTCCGTGTACGTCAAGCCGTGAGTCGAGCTGAAACCACCAGGGGGGCACTACAGATGTTATACAGTTGTCGCTCCGAAATAAGCTTTTCAACCACCAAAAGGCCATATATTTTTATCTCTGTTTATTATACACACAGCTGGTGAATTGTGGAGGGTCTCCACATATCGAAAAGGATGCGCGGTCTGTTATGCGCGTGATACGGTTTCCGCTCATCTGAACCTGCTGGTTTCCGTATGCTGTGTAAAGATTTAGTTGGGGAACTTCATTGAAAATTAATACACAGAGTAGGGCATACATTTGTTATTTCAAGTTTATAGGATTATTCAATAAGTACCTACCTAAACTAAAACCTCTGTATCTTTTCCATTGCGTCACAAGCAACATTCGTATGAACTAAAACGAAAAAACCTAGTTAAATTAGTCACTGTCTTCATTTAATTGAAATGTCACCTTGACAATTTCCAAATCTGGATATCTCTCAAATTACTGGTTGCCTATATCATATCATGCATTTAGGTACCTATTCCAAGTAAATAAAAGAAAATTATAAGAATTTCTATATAATATGCCAAAAAATCGATATTTCAACGCTCAGAAAAATAAACAACAGTTACTATGCGATCAAAACAACTGCCAAATTTTTAATCTGAGTGACTGAGTGTCAGCAGCGTCAGCTCTGTTTTGTTTTAACTGTGGTAGTACAGTCTAAAACTAATACCTAACGCGTCCACCATTTTCTTGCACATAAATACACGTCAAATATTGGAACGATTGTCTGTGATAAATTGAGACTATGACTCTTGACGTAATTGCAATCTTAAAACGGTTCTAATATAAGTATTTCATTTTAGGGCTGAAACTCAGATTACAACAGGGAATAATCAGGGATATAAGTGATAAGTGATAGGTACCTTTCATTAGTTTCATTTACGTAGTAGGTTATTTAAAACTTAAAAAGTATTTTTCCTTTTAATATCACTGATTGTGAGCAAGAGAAATAGTTCCAGATATCTCGATAACCTATCATACGAGTGACGTCTTTTGAATCATTATTTTTTTATTACACTGCCACTTATTACTATTCTGTAAGTTCCCCGTCAAGCTTAAAAACCAGGTTATCAGCAGTATTTAGAGCAATGCCCCCAGATTTGTGGTTTGAGTGAATAATAGTGCAACCGTAAATCAAAGGATTATTTTTCTAACAACCGTAGCTAATTTTTAACTTGCATCAATGGGCTTTTGTTTGTTTTTATAGCCTTAATCACGACTTTGAGATACCGCCAAGTTGTTACAAACGGTATTGTTAACAGACACTCTCTTATGATCGTCCAAGTCGTTGGTGGTCTTACAACATAAATAATAATTATTAGGCTACCCATCATTCATATTTGGCGAGTAGTGAATCAGTTTGTTTAAGAACTTATTGCATTTTTTCATATGCGTATTGTAGTATAAGTTTTTTTATCTTCTCGAGATAGACGATAGTATAGGCAAGTTACAAAATGTATACAGAGTGTATCAGAAATTCTGCCCAGGAAGCGACTTTAACAGTATTACTTTTATTGCAGTAGAATTTATAATAATATTGTTCTATTGAATTCTTTTGAATAATTATTTATTACTGGCTGTTTACTGATTATTGGGGGGTATAATTCAATGCTAGTTAGATCGTCGTTTCTCCCAATATCAGTAGAACTTGTCTGTGGTGTTAGATATCTTTTGTACATTTAGATTTCTGGTATCGGGGAGAACATTAATTGACTATATGCGTTTGATAAAAAACGAGTAAAAATATACTGTAGTCGTGTACCTTTTCTATAGAATTCAGAATTAAAAGTATGAAATAACACGTGCTGTTGTCAACTTAGGGTTTACCTGGTTGAAACTAAAGAAACTGAAGTAGGTAATTGATTTGTGGATATTTCTGAAGTTTTTCATTTATTATGAAAGCGGCATATTACTCTGACAAATCTCTCGATAGGAATGCTTGTGACAAGAAAGACATTTACAGTTCAATTTGTAAAACTTTATAAATCCATCGGTTTTGCGGCCAAGAATATTGCCGCGTTATAATAGGTAGATTAAAATAAAATTAACCACGCCGTAAATCATTCTTCCACATGACTGATCACCTAGGAAACGTCTCTGTCAAGAGAAATTCGTGATTCGAAAAAAAAACATTTAATAGAAATGCATTTGAAAGGTTTGCTTGTGCAAGGCGAAATAAACGAGAATTCCTGCGCTTATAATTTATCTCTTGATCGAAAAAGTTTGAAATAACTCCAACATGCGTCATCTCGCGTTCTAATTTCAAGTCTTCGAGTTCTATTTGTAAATGTTGATGATTTTACATGTACAAAATATGCTAAATTTATTGGATTCCTGCCTTCACAAAATTTAAACGCAGTGGCACACATCGCCGAATATTTTATGCGCAAAACGATTTACGTGTTTAAGCAGTAATTAAATAAACATTCATTAAACTAATAACAACTTCAATAAAGATTATTGTGATTGAATTAAACCCACGCACTCATTGGGCCTTCAGTAGTTAATATTAATAGGTTAAACATTCGTTGCAAGCAATAAATACACTTAACTCATTGAAATCTATTACATTGTGTAATGAACGTGCGACAAACAAGAGTATTCTCATTTAATATATAGCAATTAACTATGTACAAGTAAAAGTAGGTATATTATTCCGTAATGTTAGTTTTATGCAACCAACGATTTACTTTAACATGTAGTTACTTCATTTCATACTTACTGTACATGATATTCCTGTTCATGTTGTTTTTCAAACGAACAGCTACCAAATTGAGATTATTATTGCTCGACTTCCGAACTTCGAACAAGAAGTCGGTGACTTTTATGTTCTCTAGCAAACTGGCAAGATCGTTAAAGAATATTGGTGATTTTGGCAAAGTATAGGAGAAAACTTAACAAAATCGGATTATCTAATCTGACACAAATGAATAATGAACTTTTTTCTTTTACTGCTCAGATCTGCTTTTAACTACACAGAATAAACCTATTAACCTATGTAGGCTCTATCATACTTTTGGTACAGAATAACGATTAACGAATCATCTAACATAAACATTCAGAATTCTAACCTAACTTCAAGTTGGCGGGAAAACTCAATCATGCAAAGTGTGTATAACCCCAATCTGTTACCCTTTGAAGGTTTTGATCAATTTTAAGTAAGTTTATAAGTTCCCCCACGTTGCGAATGTTTTGGGTTTGGGTGAGGTTATTCCTTTTCGTTATTGTTAGAAATTTTATATATTTTTAGGTGGCAATGGCCCTCTTGAGGTATTTCTTTGTAACTAACTGATGCAATTGATCTTGTATCGTATCTTGTTTTGTGTTCAGCCAGACGTCAGACTAAATTTTCTATGGTCAGACTTCAGAGTTCAATGTTCAATGGTATATTGTGATGAAAATGAAAATGCAAATGTATTTTTAAGTGAATAAAGTTAAAGTTTTAAAGTAAATAACATTAACCTTTTATTGTATATAGTTGCTCGTGTGATATTTATTTTCCTCTTTTATGTTGGCCTAGGTTAGCTTAGGTTAGATTGGGTTAAGTTAGGTTAGGATATGTTAAGAAAGGTTAGATTAATTTTCCAAAACATGTTATTATCTCTATCTTACAATTTAATTAAACTTATTCAAACGAATATAGTTTGGTTTTTTTAATCATACCAAATATTTGTTAAGCTGAATAACATTATTTTTTTATAACACCTGTGAATAATTTTGTGTATTATTTGAACTATTTTTTACTCCGACTTTTGTTTTTTCAGGCAAAACCTACTGCCAGGCCTGCAAGAAGAAATGTTCGGGAGAGGTGCTTCGAGTCCAAGACAAATACTTTCACACGCAGTGTTTCAAGTGTAAGGTGTGCGGCAATTCCCTGGCACAGGGAGGTTTCTTCTCCAAAGATGGGGCTTATTATTGTACGGCCGATTACCAACGGAATTTCGGCACCAAATGTGCTGCTTGCCAAGACTATGTCGAGGGAGAGGTAAATATGGCCTTTAAGGCAGTAGTGTAGAGTCGAACCTAGTTTTCGAGAAGAAAATTCAAACTTCTAAGCGAGACATTTCACACAACACTATATTATGTAGCTTTCAGAACATCTGTTATGAACAGTCAACATTATTTAAGGTACACATTTTCGCAAATTTCAAATAAAAAATATGTATTATGAGAAATTGGAGCAACTATATATTAATTTTCTCTGCAAATTATTTGTACATAACAAAATATATTGCTTGAATTAATCGTCGTTCTCTTTATTTCTATAAAAATCAGCTTAAAGCGATCTCCATTTGTTGATTTTTTTGTTTTCCCCAGGTCGTAACTGCCCTGGGTAAGACTTACCACCAGAAATGTTTCACTTGCGCCAGATGCAGACAACCCTTCCCATCTGGCGAGAAGGTCACTTACACTGGCAAAGAGGTGCTCTGCCCTAAATGTGTTCAAATACCCATTCGTGATGCCACGCCTAAAACGAGCCCCACCACCAATAGCGTTAATGGTAAGCCAGATTTTTTTTATGAATCGTTCTATTTTCGGTTAAATCTTAAATAATTCCAGTTCCATAACGTTCATCGATTAAATGTTGAGGGAAGTTTACAGTTTATATTTCTACTGCAGTAATGTAGTAATAATAAATCTGATAAACAAAATAAATAATCCATAAACACTCCTTTAACGAATTTTCAGAAGGTCAGTAAAAACAAACTTCTGGTGATGACTAAAGCCTAATATTTTAGATAAATTTACTATGTTCTAGATATAACAAACAGAGTGAATTTGATGCAATTCATCTGATAAATTCCTTAGAGATTTTCTCCACATAGCGATGAAATATGTGCTAAAGATTCATAGATTATATCGAATTTACGCAAGTCCTTTTCATATTATCTTTCTTGATAATATCTTACAAGGCTTCCATTATATTAAGTTATTTACAAGTTATCAGTTCATATTATTAACCTGTCACAGATTGTTTCACAGTGATGACTACATTTATATTAGTAGATGAAAATTAGCAAAGCATTGACTTTTTAAAATAGTTTTCTACTGGAAATTAATTTATTGCAATGCGTAAGTAAATTTTTTTTATTATTTTCATAGATATTTGTTTGTGTTTCAATTAATATCATTTCTTATATACACAGATTGGTATATTATTTGTATAAGTAATTTTTTTGTGCTTGTTTCTTTATTATTTAAACTAAATGTGACAGCATAATCTGTTTTAACCGAACATAACCTTACATAACCTAAATTTCACTCGATAAATGAAAGGTGTTTAAATATTGATCAGTTTTTAACAGTGATAGACACAACAAAACCTTTAATTTGTTTTTTCCATAGAGATATATCCTGATGTGTGCTGTCTGGGTATGTAATACCTTTTATATTTAAATTATATGGTTTTCCCAAAGTCCAGTGAATCGATTATTAGTATGGAATAAGTGCCTTACCTTGTGTTTAGGTTTTACCAATATAGTCGAATAAACAGTACACTAAAAATTTACGTGGGTTCGAATAAATTACATGAATCATCGCGGCACAACTTGATTATTTATTAAAGGAGTCACAAACATTCCAAGCAGCATTTGCCGCATATACAATTACATTCAATTTAGGTTGATGAGGTGGATTTTTCGAATTTCGTTGTCAGGGACCACGTTATTATGTTTACAATTACGGGGCAAAGCAATGTTTGCTCGTTATCTACAGACATGTAATTATTATTGTATTAGAGACTGTTAGTGCTTTCTCTTTTTTTCTTGATCTATTTTTATTCAGTTACTTTAAAATAATGTTAGAAAAAAAAATACATTTGAGCAACTAAGCTAATTGCACCTGCAACTAGGAAGACACTTTACTACTTAATTGGCACTAATTGGCTCATATGATGTTGACCTCGTTTACGACTATAAAAATTTTTAAAGTACATTATGTAAATATTGCTTTATATGTGTATAAAATACTGTCACATTTAATATTTAGTGCCTATTAAATAAGGTAATAAAGAAATGTGACTTCTTATGTAGTATGTACATGAATGTAATTTATATGGAGGCTATCTTTGACTTTTAGAAACATATATGTTTGTTTTTTTAAATTCCATTGTGAAAACTCATAACTGCCCCTGTTTTATTGCTATACGCTAATGGATTTTTAAAATATTTTGGTTAGTTTCAACTAATTTAAATAAAAAATAAAGTAGCATCTTTCGAATCAATGATATTATTTGATTGCTACAAGAACTTGAAGAGAATCATTCAAGAGATTTCGAATTAAGTTTATATGACAAAGTACCATTATTCTTCGTTGTACTATCTGCTCCCGAAGCCTCATAGATTAAAACTGACACCCTGTATAATCAAAGAAACTGTAATATATTTGGCTAATCTTATATCAACAAATTAATGTTGGCCGTTTATTTTGTGCCCACCTAACGCCCCGTTGTCATATCTCATCAGGAGGATTGATATTATGTACGTCAATTAGTAAAAATAACACCTGGTCAAAAATCTAGAATAAAATGCAATGAACTTCAACTGGTTATTTACTGAATCCGTTGATCGAGTCGATTTTTTTCTGTTCTAGAGTGTGCAGGCTGTAGAGAAGAACTGAAGGAGGGGCAGGCGCTGGTGGCTCTGGACCAGCAGTGGCATATCTGGTGTTTCAAGTGCGGTACCTGTGGTGTAGTGTTGCACGGTGAATATATGGGTCGCGATGGTGTCCCCTACTGTGAAAGAGATTACCAAAAACAGTTTGGAGTAAAGTGTGCCTATTGTAATAGATTTATTAGTGGGAAAGTTTTGCAGGTATTTAATTTGTCATCCTATTTAACCCTTTATTAGGCTAAGTTTTTCATTAATTTTAACGGCGGTGTAGGAAAATTACAGGAAGTTATAAATTTAAAATTCTCGTAACTGGTTTCGGGATGTTTCTTTCTACATATTAAAGATCTTATGTCGCTTCCTAATCGATTTGTTGTAGCTAACGATATTAATTGGATTAGTTACAGGCGTTTAATGATATACTTAATGTTGAGAATACTATACAAGCATGTTATAGACTAAAAAGGATGAAGCGCAAACCAAGAAAAATTCAAATTGTTTTGAATTTTAATTTTGGGTATGACTAATTTACTGCAGTAGAATTAAAAGTAGATAACGCGGGATGAAGTATTTAATAAATGATTAATTACTAAAAGAGATTAAGTCTGAAACCAGTAAAACTGTTTTAGATTTTGATTTATTTCTGTTGCTTCGGAATTTGTATTTAATGATCTAATAAGCAAATATTGAATATTTTTATCATTTAAATTGTTTTTTAAATTTGAAATTTTTATTCATGTAAATTTTTAAAATTTCAGTACTGCAAATTTTTTAAATTTTAATATTGCAAATGTTTTAAATTTTAATGTTGCAAAATTTTAAAGTTTTAATATTCCAAATTTTTTAAATTTTAATATTGCAATTATGTCTTTTTTAATTTTATAAATACAGAGTGTCTCGAAATTAATGCAACAAAATTTGGTCATAGATTCTTAGGATAAATTAAGAGGACCCATATTTTTTGTTTTTGCCAAGTAGCCCCCTCTTTCGGAGTTACAGCCCCCTGAAATCCGCCCCTAAGAATAATCTTTTTTTATATCTCAGAACCCTGGTGTATGAGAATCACTAAATTTGGTACACAGAGGTTTTATGACATGTGAAATTTGATAGTGCTACGTTTTTTGAAGGGGAACCCCCATAAGAAACTTTTTCGTGGGCCCCTTATCTTAGGATTAAAAAATTTGGTCGCATATTTGAATTTCTTAAAAGTTATTAGTTCGCTAAAAAAAAAGCTTAGAAACTTTTTTGTCTTGATATTTTTTTCGTAAAACGTAATGTTTTTAAGGAAATTGGCGAATCACGATATGCATTCAATCATATTTTGACATTTTTCATGAAAACATTGCGTTTTACGAAAAAAATACCAAGAGACAAAAAAGGTTCTAAATTAGTGAACTTCTCTCTTCTAGTGAACTAATAATTTTTAAGAAATTCAAATATGCAAGTAATTTTTTTGGTACCAAAGACAAGGGTGCACACGAAAAAGTGTCTTAAGGGGGTTCCCCACAAAAAAACATAGCACTATCAAATTCCATATATCATAAAACCCCTGTGTACCAAATTTAGTGATTCTCATATAACAGGGTTCTGAGATATATAAAAAAACTATTTTTAGGAGCAGATTTCAGGGGGCTGTAACTCTGAAAGAGGGAGCCACTTGGCAAGATATAAAAAATACGGGTCCCCTAAATTGGTCTTAAGAATTTGTGACCAAATTAATTTCGGGACATCCTGCATATACAATTTTTTGTATAAGAAAATTTTAGAGGTAATTCTACTCAAAAAATAATAGGGGTACAGGGTTCGTAGCAACCTGGAAAACCGGAAATACCAGGAAAAGTCAAGAAATTTTTAAAATATTCATGAAAGTCGGGGAAGTTAATGTTTGCAATTGGAAATTTTGTAAAAGCCGGCCCTGGGTTCTTGAAAGAGAAAAGTATTTGTGGTTTTGAAACCTTTATAAGAGGATATAAAAAAGATTATGTAGTCCAGTATAAAAAAAGTTTAATGCATAAACACTAGGGCGCACAGTGGGAAATATTGGAAAAATTCTCGCCACTCGCCAATTTTCATTGTCTCGTCGTGATTTTTTTTTTTAATAATCTCGTAATCTGAATTTTCATATTCCGGTGAGGTTTTTTCGAAAAACCCTTTTTTTTAATGCTTAAGGAGCGCCCCTTATTATGACCCTTGATATATCTGATGTTTTTTCTTCAAAAATCTAACTCCAAATATATCTTCAAGGGTCATAATAATCAATTTTTATTAATAGCTGATACTTTTAAACATTTTTTTCTGCAACTGAACATCGAGTATTTAAAATTTTTTCTTCGACATTGAGGTTGGGGCCCTCCCTAAGCATTAAAAAATAAAAAAAAAGTTTTTCTAAAAAACCTCACCGGAATATGAAAATTCAGATTACCACGAGATTATTAAAAAAAAAAATCACGATGAGACGATGAAAATTGGCGAGTGGCGAGAATTTTTTCCAATATTTCCCACTGTGGGGCGGCCCAAAAAAAACATATATTATTTTTTCATGTCTCTTGTGAAAATATGTTAACTTATCATGTTTTAAGAGCCCCTTCAAAAAATCAGTTCAAAAAAAATTTTTTTTAGGTCGCTCAAGATTCTTAAAAATTTCCAAAATCATCAAAAATTGAATTTTTTTAAACATTTTTTTTCTCGTTATTTAATCATTTTCTAGGTTGACAGAAAATCTCGATTCTGAAAATTTCAAATCGATATTTTAATTTCTAAAGGTCACTCATAATTATTTTAACTTTCAAAGTAGTGTACCTAAAATGTTTTTTAGCGACCTCTAAAAATAAATATCAACGACTAATAATTTTTTTTATTGAATTTGATGAACAAAAGAATAGAAATAAATCACAAGATACTTTTTAAAAAAATTATACATATTTGATACTCGGTGCGGTAGTAAATTTTGCCTCGAAAAATCTTTTAAGTGTCGTGTTTTATTTCTATTCTTTTGTTCATCAAATTCAATAAAAAATAATATATTAGTTCTTTGATATTAATTTTTAGAGGTCGCTCGAAAACATTTTAGGCACACTACTTTGAAAGTTAAAATAATTATTATGAGTGACATTTAGAAATTAAAATATCGATTTGAAATTTTCAGAATCGAGGTTTTTTCAACCTAGAAAATGATAAAATAACGAGAAAAAAATTTTAAAAAATTAAATTTTTGACGATTTTGGAAATTTTTAAAAATCTTGAGCGACCTCTAAAAAAACTTTTTTTGGAGCTGATTTTGTGAGGGGGCTCTTAAAACATAATAAACTAACATATTTTCACAAGATTTTTCAAATTTTCAAAAAAAAAAAACTGGTTATATAACTTTGTTTTGTTTACAAAGTAGTGGCACACAAATTTGTACCATTACTTTTATGAACAGAATTGCCCCTTAAATTTATTGGTGGTGGTTCCCCTATGTATCTTAAATAAAATTGTGCGATATACCCAACGTAAAAATCGACATCCTGTATGCTATACGCTCGCTTAAAAAAAGCCAGTTATAAAAATAGACATTGCTTAATTTTGTTATGTAACCGTATCGTGGCGGTACCTGTTTTAAAACTTTTGAATATTTAAAACCTTCTGTTATGTAACACTTTTCTCCGAAACTAGGCAAAGCAAAAGTTTCTCAAGGTTAGACTCGAATTGTAGACGTCTTAAATTTGGAGAAAGTCGGGCTTATCTTGGTCGTGCCATCTGAATGTCCAATTAAATCGGACCATTGTCTATGCTAATGTGAAGATTTGCCGTTAGATTAAGGAAGTGAAATACGTAAGTGTCTTCGGGCGGTTGTACGCTATAGTAGTATGTCAGTTTTATGAGTCAGGTGAACGGGAAATAGTCATGGCATTAGTTGCTGCAATATTTCCAGATGATTGTGTAGTATGTCATTATTTTTTATTAATATTTAATTGGAGTAAAACGTGATTCGTACAATTTTTTAGTTTAATTTTTTTTTATATACATATGGTTTCACGATTATTTGGCCAAACTTGGTAGTTTTAACCAAGGGGTCAAGAATCTCCGGAAATGCTGGGTTTCTAAGAAAAAAATTTCACCCGTTTGGAAACTGAATAATTTTCGTGTTTTAATTTTTTAATTTTCATGACTCATACCGAGTACTTCAGTGAGCTGAAAATAAACCTAAAATAACTTATTTCACCTGCCGTTGTTCTCAGACTAAGCTCTGTGGGGGTGGACCCGCTATCAGAACCCCCGATGTTCATTTCAGTTCTTGTTGGTTATCCACTACTGATGGAACTGTTCTCAGACAATGGTAATCCTCTGAGATGTTCCATAGTGACTTCTGTAACTGATTGCATACAATGCTTTCAAACGCTCGTTACTGCTGGCTTGAGAACCAACAAAAACCGAAAAGAAATATTGTACGATTAAAATTTCTTTTAATTTTTTTAATTTAATTTCTGTTTGATTCCAAAAATAACGGTTACCCCATTGTTGGTATTTGAGCGAGCAGCATGGTTAACTTAATAGTTTATTGATGTTGCAGTGTATCGGACATTATTAATGGATTTTTTCTGTATGACATAATTATCATCTCGATAATATAATGTCTAGTAGAAGTAGATGATAACGTTTCCTATGCTTAATAATAATTGCAGCATGTAACTTGAAAAAAAAAAATAGTAATTGGGTAATTAAATATGCTAGCATAGTTGAAAAAGTACATGTCATCGTGAATTATATTTCATGACAACTGTTTAATACAAAATAATGATTTGTCGGAACCCAAAAACTTGAAACTCGTTATCGTTATCACTTTGCGATTTGTTTGAATTAGTAATGTGGTAATAACGTTTTAATTAATTGAATTTGATTTAGACATAATTATTAACGCTTGTAATTATATTCTTAGTATTTGCAAAGTACATAATTTCAATTGGAAGTAGGTATATTATAAATATTTGCACAGCAATATAATGAATTTATGTTCATATACCAGATATTAAGCATATTACGTAAATGCATGGTAGTGTTAATTTTGTACGATATATCGCAATATACTAAGTTGGCCACGGTTCGACTAAAAAGTCTGTTGCAATAAATAAAAAAGGAGTAGATTTAACTAAACTAAACCTGAAAATCGATACTAATTATATTATGTTACTGTTACTGACAGTATATTACTTTTACTCAAATCTCATCTTTTTTGGTTAGTATACACGCTTTTTCATATTGTCACACAAATATTTAATAATGAACACATGCATAAAGTCATGAAATTCCTTACCTTTTTTTTAATACCGTCTAGTAAAACGATAAACGGTGACATATTCTGCAATTCTCATTTCGCCCAATTAGCATTGGCCGTTTGTTTTTTGCTCATCTTGCGCTCTGTTGTCATATCACATCAGGTGGATTGATATACAGGGCGTTCCTAAATAAGTGTCGCAACGGAAAACTGTAAATTTCTCTTGAAAAAAGAAACATTATTTTCTTTTGTACGCGGGAGCGTAAATGACTCCATCTGTCGTGCTGACTCCCAACTGTTCACCATTCAAATGGCTACAGTAGGAAGCGACTTGCTATATTGCAGGTAATTGTTGCACGACAGCCACCCACAGAGGGCGAAGACAACGTTTTAATTGCCAGTGTTGCGAGAAACAACTACTCCGAGGGCTATGTGCCCCTACCGACATTGAATTATACTCGCAACACCTAATGCAACAAAAGAAAAATATTATTTTCCTTTTCCATTTTTCTCTTCGGGCTTTCGTTTTCGAGATATACGGTGTCAAAACTTTAATTTTTTTTTTTTAGTTTTTTGTTAATATCTTAGGAACCGTTTGAACTATAGGACTAAGCTTTTGTACACACATTACCACTATTAATAGCTACTTTTTCGCTCCCTTCTCGAATTCATTGGACGTGCCAGTGGTGGAGATTTTAAGGCATCGTAAGGATTTTCTCCCCTAACTTTTACGCCACCATAAAAATTGACATTTGACAGTAAATTCTATCTGCTGTTAAATTTCGTTAAAATTGTTTATTATTACTACCTATTTTTTGAATTACAAAAAATTTTCGAAACAGCAAAATGTTTGTTTTTGTTGATAAAAAGGCATTTTTCTTGAAAACGGTTGACTTTAGAACAATGATCTAACCTCCTTTTGTGTAAAATTCATGGGCGCATCAGAATTTGCTGTCAAATGTCAATTTTTCCAGTGGTGTAAAAGTTAGGGGGGATAAACCCTTACGATACCTTAAAATCTCTAACACTGCCACGTCCAACGAATTCGGGAAGGGTGTGAAAAAGTAGCTATTAATAGTGGTAATGTGTGTACAAAAGCTCAGTCCTGTAGTTTAAACGATTCCTAAGATATCATGTATCTCGAAAACGAAAGCCCGGAGAGAAAAATGGAAGATGAAAATAATGTTTAATTTTTCAAGATGAATTTATAGTTTTCCGTTGCGACACTTATTTAGGAACACCCTGTATGTAGTTCATCTAAACTAGAGAGATCACACTGAAATCCACAAACCGAACACAGTGCTTCAAAAGCATTTTCATTAAAAACTTAAAAAGATTTTAAAAAATATTTAAAATCTATCAAATTACTTAATTTTTTATGTACATTTTATTAAAGAGCAAAAAAATTATTTTAAAACGGAAATTAGTCTTACTTACAATAGTAACATAGATATTAGTTAATATTTAAATAAATTATGCAAGAAATACTAGTTTTCTAAAAACGTTTAAACATTTTTCAGCGCTTTGTCTGTAATGGCAAAAAGATATGGTGACTTTAAAATAACACGTCGCAAAGTGATTCAGAAGCACCTATTTACAAAATTGTTATTTGCAGTTTTGCTCTGTGCCACTCTATTGGTTTCATACATTTTGTTTACAAATCCTTTGTTATTAATAAATATCGTCGTAAATGTTAGAAATAAAGTTTGTCCTTGAGTAATAATCTCCAAATTAAAATGTATATCTACCACTTCACATGTTTTATCCATTTTTCCAGTGTTTGTCATTCTAGCTTTTATGAAATCGTTTTCTAATCACTAATAAATATTTAGATAGGGTTAAAAGATAAATTTTCCGATTATAGGCTGGCGACAACCACCATTTCCATCCGACGTGCGCCCGTTGCTCAAAATGCGGGGACCCATTCGGGGACGGAGAGGAGATGTATCTGCAGGGCGGCGCCATATGGCACCCCCGATGCGGACCGGGCCCAACAGAAAACGGCCAGATCTTGAACGGAACGGGAGAGGCGAACGGCAACTGCACCGATACCGACGTGTCCATAAGGGACTATGACAGGCATAGTACTTCTGGTGTTAGCGAATTGCAGGTATTCAAACGTTCTCTATGGTACCCTTGATATTCTCCTATAGAATAGGAATCGTTTACGTTTATATGTTTCTAGGCACTTTATATTGTTTTTTTATTTTGTTGCATGGTTTTCTTTTTTTTTTCAGTTTTCCATGAGATCCCGTACCCCTAGCTTGAACGGTTCATTGTATAGCCCCACAAGCATGTCTAGAAAGGTTTGTCTTGTTACTTTGCCCTCTTTTATTTCCGGAAAGTATAAGGTTTTGACGTTAGTTTCATTCGTTTGTTTCGTAATACGTAATAGTAAAAATTTGCCTTTAAAATTATTGAAAGTAGGGTCAAGAATATTTTTCGAGAACATTAAGAACTAACGGTCTCTGCGAATTCAGTTTTATATGATTTTTCTTAAATTTTATTGTAGCACTACAGTTACCGTACGCCATCGCCCGGTTTGATATTAAGGGAGCCCAAGTCGGCCATGTTATCGGATGATATTTCTAGGATATACACGTATAGTTACCTTACCGAAGAACCAACGCTAGGATACCTAAGGAGACCCATCAATCCGTACGACAAAGCCCCAACTTCGCCACATTTCCACAGACCCACATGTAAGTCTTTGCATTCAGATTCCGTGAGACGATATCTCTACTCATGATTTTTGTGGAAATTCAAAACTAACGATGGACGATACTAACAAGCTTTGTAACTTTGAATATACCTCGGTAATCATAAATCGTAGAGAAGTTTGTGAAATTCATCTTGAGGAGCTCTAATCCCAGGATTGAGACAATCGTGGGACTAGAGTTCCAAAATTTCAGGAAGAATTTTTTCAAAAAACGTTCTTTATTTGTTGCATTCAAAAATGGCCGTGGAATATTTAAAATGACAAAGGGGCTAAAAAAAAAGGAAAACCTATTTTTCTTATTATTTATATTCAATAACTAATCGATTCCACCTCAAACGGGACCTCCTCCCTCCTTCCTAGTCAGGATCAAAGTCAATTAGAGGTCAGATTGAGAAAAAGCACATTAAATCAAAGGATTTCGGAGTTTAGGTTTTTTAGGTTGCCGAGTCCGAATCAGAGGTTAATTTGTCTGTATCAGGCCGTTTTAAGGTTATTTCAAGGTCGTTTCAAGGTCAAATTGAGAAAAAGCCGAGCAATCAAGTCCGACCACACTTAAAATTAGGAGGCATGAGGGTATATTAGTTTATACGGAGTAATACGCGTGTATATTGAAATGTGCGTGTATATGTGAGGGTTGCTTTCGGTGTGCAGCAGAAATAAAACTCTCTTTCAATGGTAAAAATAAAAGGATTTTTTATTGAAAACAAAGTTAGTGAAAAAGACGTGTTGTCGGGGCGAACGTTCGCTGGAGAGTCTGGTACGGAGTCGCTCGCATGTATATGTATCTCGTCAGCGCCAATCTGCCCTGGACCTTTCCTGGAACCCTGATGCGTTCCACTTTCTCCTTGCCGCTATTAGACTGGTCCGGGCTGGCGCTCTTGACGTAATACTTAAAATGGGTCACTTGCAGACATGTGTACTCACATATAGCAAAATGGTTATGGGGTAGAGTGGGTTTGTATGAAAGAATAACAGCGTTTTATGGAGGAATATGGGTGGATTCGAGGTAATATGGGTTGGCATGAGTAAATATGAGTTTTTGTGAGGTTTATATAGGTTAATATAGTCAGTTCAGTCTTTACTTTCCAACAAGATTCGGTGAAATACAGGAAGGTCCAAAGTCACTCCTCACTAATTCTACCAGAAAACATCTTTTTTCTCAAATCAACCTTCTTTTTCTTCTAGTTGGTCCTAATAAGTCCCATAGCACTGCGGCCTGATTAGGCCTATTGTGCGTCCCACTACTAGTCCTATTCAGCAAGTAGATTTGTCCTTTTTACAAAGTCCAAAAGCTTCCTTGCTGACACTTCTCTCAGTTCTTTGGGGTTCCAAATGAGGTCTCCCAAGGAACGCCATTCTGCTACGTGCAAATCCCGGGCACTCGCCCAGGATATATTCACGTCCTCCGCAGACCGGACTGTCTACAAGCTTTAGCTTATGTAGATGTTTCCTAAAGTGACAGTGTCCCGTTATGAGTCCTGTCACTCTCCTGAGCCGGATTCTGTTCAAGCTTAGTAAATCATTCGCTCTTTCGTTCGAACGATACTCCATGAGCTCCTTAGAATGGCTATGTCCGGGCCTTGAAGTCCAGTATTTCCTGTGTTCTGTCTCAGTCCATTTGCCCAGAGCCCGCCTGACAAATCAACCTTAGAATAACCTTAAACCTGATTTGATACATACAAACGACCTTGGATTCAAACTCGGAGACTTCAAAAACGGTAATCGATTTCTCGTTTTTTTCTTCGTTTGACATTTAAATGACGTTGAAATAACCTTCAAAATACCTTATGCAGACAAACTTACCTCAGATTCGCACTCAGCTATCCCAAAAACCTATATAAGAGGCGGATAGACTTAATTGCTCGGCTTTTTCTCAATTTGACCTTGAAATAACCTTGAGAGTATCTTTAAATGACCTGATACAGACGAACTAACCTCGATTTCTAACCCAGCGATCCCAAAATCCCGTATAACAGGTGGTTGGACTTGATTGCTCAGCTTTTTGCAATTTGACCTTGAAGTGACCTTGAAACGACCTTAAAATGGCCTGATACAGACAATCTAACCTCCGACCCAAAAAAACCTAGTCTCCGAGATCTTTTAATTTAATTAATTTTTCAATTTTGAAATAAAAGAGTTTTTTCCAATTTTTTGGTCGTTTTCCAAATTTTTAAATATCTACTGAAGATTTCGGGATTAAAAGTAACTGAAAGACGTTACTACTTCCTTTTAGATTAAACAAAAAAATTGTAAAATCATTTTTCAATTACATAAAATTCAATTTTATTTATTGATACATACAATTACAATTAGATTTTTAGATTATTTTGGGGATTTTTGGGATTTGAAACTAAAAATTGTCCAAAACTCCGGAATTTGGAAGCTCGATATCTCTTGTAGTTCTTATGGTTCGGCCAGTGTTTTTAATTGCGGTCTTTTTTTTTTAGCACAAAATTCTCTGAGGGGAAGCTTCGGGGCCGGAGGTAAGAGGTACGGCTCCCGATCGGCCATGAAAGTCTTAGTGGACTCGATACGTAGCGAAACGCCAAGGTCTAAATCTCCGCACATGAACAATGAGGAACCCATAGAGCTGGCGCACTTCCCAGGGGCCAAGCCCCCAATACCCGGGGAACCTACTAAGATTGAACGGGACGACTTTCCAGCCCCTCCTTACCCATACACGGACCCCGAACGCAGGAAACGGTGGTCGGATTCGTATAAAGGCGTTCCGGATTCTGACGAGGACGATCTGGACGGGCTGACAGCCAAGGAGATCGAGGATTTGAAGCTGAAGAAGGAGGAAGAGGAGCTGAGTAAGATATCGAGCGGTATAGGGAAGGTGTTTTTGAAAAATGTCCAGGAGAGGGAGAAGCTTAAACAGTGGAAGGCTGCGCATTTAGATCCGAGGAACGCCTCGAGGTAAGTTACAAAGTTTATGTAAAAAATGTTATTATTTAAATTTGGAAAAGTCTAAGTTGGATATGTGGGGCAAAAACTAGTAATTTTCTGTAACGTACAGTTAGGTAGGTACCTTGAAAAATTGGGCTGATATATTTCGCTGGATTTTACTTAAAAGCTGTGTAAAAAATCTTGGAAAAATCAAACATTTTCACAAACGACTTCATAAAAAATGGAACAAAATTGAAAAAGCTCTGTATCTCTTAAATGAATCGAGATATCAAAATGAGGTTTTCTATATTTAACTTTTTTCGAAAATCGAGTGTGACGTCACAGCTCCTTTTTCCCTATATTTTCGGAAAATAGGAGAAACCCTCCAAGAATGTTGAAAATTCTGCTGCTGCAGCATTTTGCCTACATTCACCATACAGGGTGTAACTAAATAAGTGTAAAACATTTAAGGGGGTGATTCCTCATCGAAAAAAAGATAGGATCTTTCATATAAAGAAACTTCATTGGAGCATCCCTTGTTAAGATACAGCCCCTTAAAGGGGGTACATAAAATTTGTTTAACAATTTTTTTCACAAGCACTAAACAAGTTACAATATTGAAATTAACCTGACATTTTCTACTACCAAAAAGACACTTAGCCAGTAATTTATTTGGTTTACCCCATGGTAGTAAGGGGTGGAAAACGCAACCCCTAAAATTTATTTCCAACGTAATTTTTTGTCTTATTATTTTTTTACCATTTAAAAAATTATTTCCGATAGCCTGTTTCATTCTAAAAAAAAATGTCTCTTGAATTTTTTGCCCAAATTAAACCAGTTCGCAGTAAAAAATTATTTTACGAACAACTACAGAGATACATCGTCATAAATGCGGACTGGATTTACTGTTATTTTGTAGTTACTACCTGCATTAAATGATTAAAGGGGAATAATCAAAACTAATTTAATAATAACAAAACATACAACATGTAGAAATCATAGTAAATGTTCAATATGTCTACCTTCAGACATTACGCATGCGTCTAGACGTCGGCGCATTGAGCCACGTATTCGCTCAAATATTCCTGGAGTCTCTCTAATTACCCTGCACGCATCGATAATGCGGTTTCTTAAGTCCTCTACATCGCGAACAGGAGTACGATAAACCAAATGCTGCAAATGGCCCCAAGTAGACAAATCCAGAGGATTGAGATCCGGGGATCGAGCGGGCCAATTCTGTGGTCCTCCTCGACCTATCCACTGATTTGCATATGTTTCAGTTAAATGCTGACGTGCTACTTGACTAAAATGGGCGGGAGCCCCATCATGCATAAAAACCATATCCCTTCTGACGCCCAAAGGAACTTCCTCCAGCAGTACGGGGGGATGCACTTTTCTTAAAAATTGAACGTATGCCTCACCATTTAATCGAGGAGGTAGAAAATGAGGCCCAATTAAATAATCCCCAATAACTCCGACCCACACCTTAAGAGAAAACTGTTCTTGATGGTTAGTTTCGACAATAGCGTGATGGTTTTCATCAGCCCATATGTGGTAATTATGAAAATTAATAATCTTGTCCCGAGAAAAACTACATTCGTCTGTGAATTCGATCGTCTTCAGAAAGTCACGATTTCTTCTAATCATTTCCAGCATCCAATTGCAAAATTCAAGACGGTTCGGAAAGTCTCGCGGTAACAGTGCCTGTACTCGTTGCAGATGGTAAGGGTATAAGAGATGTTCCTTTAAAATTCGAAATACCGTCATATGATCAACATTTAGCTGGAAAGCAATCTTTCTAGTACTGGTAGTAGGTTGTTCTTCTATCAAATTAAGTACTGCTGCCTCAAGCTGTGGTGTTCTTACTTCTCGATGGCGACCACAATCCTGCGTTCTTTTGTTGAATGAACCATATTCACGTAATCGTTGATGAAGTCAGACAAATATTCTATGTGAAGGATGCTGCCGTTGAGGATACATTTCAGCATATCTTGTAGAAGCTTCTAACCCATTCCCCTGCGACAGACCGTAAACGTAATGCATATCAGCCATTTCCTCATTTGTGTATGCCATTTTAATAACAAGTGAATTATTAAAGTAACAAATTAAGAACAGAACAATACACAATTAGTATTACTTCAATTTCAAAAATTTACAAACTGACAGCTTGATTCCAATTTAATTGTCAGTATCGCTAATGGCGGCCTACTAGATAAATTAGTTTCGTATTTTCGTTTTATGGCGATATGTATCTTGTTCGTAAAATAATTTTTTGCTGCGAACTGGTTTAATTTGGGCAAAAAATTCAAGAGACATTTTTTTTTAGAATGAAACAGGCTATCGGAAATAAATTTTTAAATGGTAAAAAAATAATAAGACAAAAAATTACGTTGGAAATAAATTTTAGGGGTTGCGTTTTCCACCCCTTACAACCATGGGGTAAACCAAATAAATTACTGGCTAAGTGTCTTTTTGGTAGTAGAAAATGTCAGGTTAATTTCAATATTGTAACTTGTTTAGTGCTTGTGAAAAAAATTGTTAAACAAATTTTATGTACCCCCTTTAAGGGGCTGTATCTTAACAAGGGATGCTCCAATGAAGTTTCTTTATATGAAAGATCCTATCTTTTTTTCGATGAGGAATCACCCCCTTAAATGTTTTACACTTATTTAGTTACACCCTGTATATCAACAGAATTCACCAATTAGTTCAATCAATAAGTAGAAGAGCTTACAAAAAATACCACCTGGAAACAAAAAATATGGTGATATAGGAATAAAAATTCTAAGAAAGATAGTGTATTTTTCCTGTGGCGCATAAACGGCGAAGTTAACCTAAAAAATTCATAAAAGTCAAAAAACCGGTTTTTCGCTAATTAAAAAAAAACTTGAACTCCAATCGAAAAAAGTTAAATGAGAAAGCTGTAGCTATTAAAAAGACTTATCGATTCGTATTTTTAAATATATTGTTTGCTATATTACTTTGCGAGATATATCGAAGAAACCATCAAAAATCGACTTTTTTTATGTATCTCTTGCAAATTAAGGTTTTGAAACTCGTTACTTGCTGTAAATGTAGCCCTCGGCAAATAAAAAAGTACCTTTTCTTAAAATTAAAAAATATTAAAAATTTTTCGAGTTATAACGATTTTTCGAAAAAAAAGGTCATCTCGAAAATCGGCTCTTGCTCGTAGAGAAACGAATCAGGGCTAATTTTTTCTCCTTAAGCGTTGTACTTTCATGGTAAAAAAGAGTGATAACGATTTTATTCATTTCAAGTATCCAAAGATGATTTTGAAAAAAGTAAAAATTTTTTGGTCGCGTTTTTCTTGAATATCTTTTTCGATTTTCATTTCTCGATAATGTCTATTGCAGGAATCGATTCCTGGCATTTTTACACAAATTTAAAAAAAAGCGTTGGTCTACGACCTTCTGGAGCCGAGATATTTTTTTTTTTCAAAAAATTCCACGCTGCTATTTGAGTGCTGCAACTTCCAATCTTACAGAGATTGAAGTTGAAGACTTATATGTTCAATAAAAAAACGTCATATTTTGGTTTATCTCGTCGAGCTACCTCAGATTAAGTACGAAAGAATTTTTGTATGTGGTCCAGAAGTCGAGATAATGAAGATTTTGAAATTAAGAGCGCTTTTGAACGCGCGAATAGTGTTTTCGGAGCGGCCGAGTAGCGTTACCCCTACTTCGCCGCCCGCTACAGTTAGCTCAAATGCTTTGGTTTAACGCACAATTAAAAATGCAGAATGGCTAAAATGAACCACATTATTATTTTATTGAAAATATAAGTCTTCAACTTCAATTTCTGTAAGAATGATCGCTGTAGCACTTAAATAGCGGCCTGTGTAATTTTTTTAAAAAATTAAAATATTTCGGCTCCAGAAGGTCGTAGAGCAACATATTTTTTTTAAATTCGCGTAAAAATGCCAGCAATCGATTCCTGCAATAGACATTATCGAGAAATAAAAATCGAAAAAGATATTCAAGAAAAACGCGGCAAAAAAATTTTTACTTTTTTCAAAGTCATCTTTGAACACTTGAAATGAATAAAATCGTTATCACTCTTTTTTACCATGAAAGTACAACGCTTAAGGGAAAAAATGAGCCCTGATTCGTTTCTCTACAACTATTCGTCGAGTAAGAAGAGCTGATTTTCGAGATGACCTTTTTTTCGAAAAATCAATATAACTCGAAAATATTTTAATATTTTTTAATTCTAAAAAAAGGTCCTTTTTTTGCTTGTCGAGGGCTACATTTACATCAAGTAACAAGTTTCAAAACCTTAATTTGCAAGAGATACAGCAAAAATAAAAAAAGTCGATTTTTGATGATTTTTTTCAATATGTCTCAAAAAGTAATATAGCAATCGATATATTTAAAAATCGAATCGATAGGTTTTTTTTAATAGCTACAACTTTCTCATTTAACTTTTTTCGATTGGAGTTGAAGTTTTTTTTTATTAGCAAAAAACAGTTTTTTTGACTTTTATGAATTTTTTAGGTTAACTTCGCCGTTTATGTGCCACAGGAAAAATGCAGTATCTTTCTTAGAATTTTTTTTTCTATATCACCATATTTTTTGTTTCCAGGTGGTATTTTTTGTAAATTTAACCAGATTGATTGGACTAAATTCAATATTACTGTATTTTAACTACTATCGAAACAAAAAACAATTAACAAATATTCAGAAATATATATACTAGAAATCTACCATATACTAATTATTAAATATGTCGATGAAGTAATATTAATAATATTTCATTAAAGTAAGCCCCATTCTGCATTACTGAAATGTTATATTAATTCTCGTTTTTACGAAAAGGACTCCATCGGCAAACAAAGAACCGCAGTACAGGCTACGGTACGACAGCCCGATCGGCGCGAGCCCTTCCAGAAACTTAGACCACCCAAGGCCATTCGACGACGACGATTTTGACAGATCTTTGAGCTGCCGTTCCTCGATGGGTAGATCAATAGGGGCCATACCTAATTACAACGGTAAGCGAACGGGTATGATTCTTAAAATCGCTCCGAGAAAATGTAAAACGGAGACGTTTGATTTAGGACGTTTTACGTTTTCTCCGTCACCCCACCCTCATAACCGAATCTGTGTTATTACAAAAATTTTATTCCTTACTTAAAAAGAACTTTAGTTTTTAGCGACAATTGGCAATTTTAGTTAAGGTGAGACTGTACCTAACCCTGATGTTTGTGGATTTAATTTTTAAAATTTTGAAAGCATGACTTGTACATATTTTCCGTAACGTAACGAAGCTGAAATTTAACTTTTCCGAACCATAGTTTTGTTGATGATTTGTACAGTTTTGGAAATATTAGAATTTTTTATAAACGTTATAATTTTTCAAACAGGTATTCATTTCGAACATGCACATCTAGATTTAATCTGGCAGCGTTTGTATTATTTTTTTGTGTACATTTTATTTTTAAATGCATGCAGTGGTGCTTTTTACATATTGCGTATCAGAGTTTTTTCCTTTGCACTTTATTTTTTTGCGTGTTGTACAGTAGTCTCGTCACTACGGATGGTGCCTAGGCCTGGTTACGGACTTAGATCATCCACCTTGCCCATTAGAAATGGATACGTAAGTACTACAATAGGGGGATTCCGATTGGAAGGATTTTAAAATAACTTGATTTTCGTGTAGAAATTTTAAAGTTCTTCCGTAAACTGTCGCGAACAAAACACACGTAATGTGCGGTACACATGCCGTCCGCTTTAACATAAGCTTCCGTTGCTCTTCCACCTTGTTCACTTGTGATTATTGCCATGCAGTTGTGAGTGCGCTACGACACGTTCCTAAACCCGGATATGGTCTGGCGCCCCGATCTCACACGTTCAGTTCGTCCGCTGGTAGTTCCGTTCCTCAAATCCCCGTAAGTCGACTGGATACGTTGCATTGATGTAATCTGTGTATAGTTAGTTTCGTTCTCACTTTTCTCTCCCGGATGGGACATTTTAGTGTGTCGGTTTTTCTTTGTCACGGCCATAATTCTAGTTTATTAGTAGTTTCACAAATATTTATACGTAAGAGTGTTTGGAAATGAATGCTTCATATTTCAAGGGTAGCTTCGTAGAATTAAAATTAACCGATTTAGATTAAGATACATCAGTATAATTTTGCTTCCTTAAACAATTAAAAACCTACAAAAAAAAACAAAAAATTAATTGATTTTAAAAAATACCTCCTTCATTTTTTTAGATATTTTAATGATGTGTTGTATAGGGCGGTTTCTTGGGGTAGCCGAATGTTTATGTTTAACTTAGAAACATAGATATCGCTGAAAATAGCAGAAACGATCATTTACTGTAAAAAAAGGTATTCTTGTTGCATTAAAGTGACGGTATTGCGGGAAACAGCATCTACATTTCACCTACACTCGCTGCCATGTCTGTAGTTAAGACCAAAACTAGTTGGATCACTGTTTGAATTGTTAGTGTTGCGAGAAACAACTACTCCGAGAGCTATATGCCCCTACCGGCATCGAATTATACTCGCAACACCTAGTGCAACAGCTAGGATCGTTTGTCATCAGTTTAACCCACCAGGCACAGACTGGTTTTGGACTTATTAGTCCTCATCAGTGTGTCAGTTTGACACACTGAAGCTGATCGGCGCATGTAACTCGTGGAGTAGTCATTTCCTTCAATATCGTCAGTTTAATAATTGTTTTGCCTAGTGGCGATACAACTTTCATGGTGCGTGCAACATAGCAGGTTACTTTCTGCCAGTTTGGCCATTTGAATGGACATTAACTAGCATTGCGATGATTTACAGATGTACGATAGAAAGATCTTACTATTTCGGTATTTTACTTGGTATCGAAGAAGATTTTTGGTAGAATTTTTGGAAGAAATTTTCAAATTTATTAGAACTATCCCAGTGTTTACCAAATTTTCGGTGAAATATCTTGACCGATAGAGTTATCTTTGGAAAATAAACCAAATTTTTTGATTACCAGTGATTTTTCAAGGAAGCAAAAATAGTACCAACTTGATTTACTCCAAACTACCCTCGAAGTAAGGCGCATTCGATTCCGGACACCCTTTATAATAATCAGTTGTGTCGTTAAATTTAAATTTCCTTAGTTTGGATCGACTGCATTTATTTAGTTTGTTAATTGAATACGATGAAACTTCAATTACGTACAAGACGAAGCACACTAAATTTGAAGTAGTTGTTTGGGAAGATAAATCGTTTATACATTTTGGCTTGTTTAAAATGTATTGTAGTCTAAGAAGCAACTTTATATTCTGTAGAAATAATTTTATATTCGTAACAAATGGAGAAAAAAATACTTGACTGTAGTTTACAGGCAGGTCAGGTTATTTTGAAGTAGAAAATAGATTTCTTTATCTGTTAAATTTACCGTTAGTACCCTTTTTATAACGTACACACACAAAAATAGAGATTAGGCGAAGTAATAGGATATAGTTTAATAAATTGAACGACTGTATGTTAATATTTAAGCGCGACACGTGCTTAAATATGATACAAGCCTTTATTCTTCTTTTCTTCTTTATTTTTTGCACGATTTCAAAAATTTTTATTTGGGAATGTGGAGTAAAAAAAGCACTATCTAACTGTGATACTGCTGTTTTTATTAATGCCATTCATGAAACTTGGTGATAAGACATTTTAAAATGAGTGATTTTTTAAAAACGTGTCCTAGTTGGCCTTGAAATGCATTAATAGAAACAGCAGCATTACATTTTTTTATTCTACATTAAAAAAAATGTTTGAAATCGGTCAAAAAACAAAGGAGGCTTGTATCACATTTAAGCGCAACATCCTGTATATAAATTGCACCAGGATGGTTGAGCTAAAGTAATTTCTAAAATTTAATTAAAACCATTGAAAACTTTGTTCATATCTTTCAAGTAAACAAGGCAAAAACTCACGGTAAAGCATTAATTGATGAATTGAGAACGAAACTATATTTGTATAATCATTTATTTCACATCACATTTGAATTTATTGTGTATATTAAAAAAAAATACGGTTTTCTAAATTAAAATCATGGATTGGTAGAATAAACTTAAACAATTTTAAAATTTGTTGCATCGATTACGCAGGTCGACAAAATGTGGCTGGCCTAAACCGGAAAGTAAATTATACTTTCCACAAAGGTTTTTGATATGCTAAATCTGAATCTGATTTCAAAATTGCACCATCACGCCAAATTTTAGATGTAACCTGGCCTAAAAACACCGTTTTTCAATATATTTGAGGTTATGTTACATCACGAGCTTATTTTTCTCCCAAAACTCGTGTGGCATCTGAAATTGTTACTCTTCTTCAAAATCCATGTCGAGTCGTTCGAATATCTGTTTTCCTCTTGAGGTGTCGTTTGTTGAGATTGATCAGTTTGATGTATTCGCCGATATTACAAAATCGATTAGCATGAAAATGCAAAAATGGGAAAGAATCAAATCATAAACGGTTGAATTCCAATGGTTCCTCGGGTGTTTGAAATCTTTTTTTTCTGAATTCCAACATTTTTTTATTCCATTCGCCATTTTGGATTTTGCAATTCCACAAGTTATTATATATTATTATATAATAATAATATTTCAAAGAAGGTACAGCTACACTGTAACCGACCATTGTATCTACACCTAAAATGAAATATTCGTTCGTAATCAGCAACACCGAAAATTTGCAAAACCAGCACAAGTTCAACAAATGATATCTCGAAAGGATTCAAATGATTCAAAATGGATTTTGAAGAAGAAAAGTAGTACTTTCAAATGTCATAACTTTTAAACATTAGGGATTTTTAGTTGACAGTACCGCCGTGCAATGTTGGTTGCCTAACTTCGGTGATCATGTGGCTTGTAATTATTTATGAAAGTTTTGTATATTGCTACACAAATAAACATAAATCTTTAGATATTTCATAGAAATAACGTGTCACAATATACTGAAAATAATGCATTTATCATCAAAAAAATTCTTTTTGTCATTGCCAATAAAAATTAAAATATTTTTTGTTTTGCCAATCCGTACCACTAGAAAATCTTGACTTTGAAGTAGAATTTCCAAGAGTATATTTTTTTTACGATTAGACATTTACTTTCTGTTTTTCTTTGAAAACGTAAAGTTTTTTAGTTTTTATTTTTTTGGGTTTCTATAAAACTGTAATCGCATGTTACCTCTCGTGTGTGTTTTTGTGATTGCGAGGAATGTTTTTTGTCGTATGGGTGTTTAATAACTAATTGATTATTCACAGGGTGATTATTCATTTAGTGGAATGGGTGCTAAAACTCATAGTACTGACTTCAGTTGTGGAAAATCAGATAGTAAGTATTTTACAAAGTTAACACGTAGTTAGTAGTTTACCGGTGTAGACGGTGCCTTTTAGCTTTTGATTTGGGAAAGTAGATACTAGTTTCCACCGATGAGTAGAATAGTTTCCACCCTTTTAAAACATATACAGGCAGTTTGTTAAGTGACGCAACTTCAAACGGTCGTTATTTGGATCTACAACCACTAGTTTTTGAGATGAAGGTGTTGATGTTCAAAAAATATCACATACGTTCAGATATGGCTGAAGATGTCCGATGTCGACAGATGAAACGTGTGCTAATAATTTACTAATTTAAAGATTTGTTGAATTAGTTTGTAAATATCTTCAGATGTTTTTAATTAATGATATTGTGGGGAACGACTATTCTACAGACTACATTTTCATTTGGCATTAAGTTACACCCCCAATACCTAGCAAACAGCTAAGATTATTCATCAAGAGAACCGATTTGGAACTTATTCGTTCTCATCATACCATAGGCAAGAAGACCTATGAATGATATATCTGTTTGGATGCTTATCTATCAAAGTTGTTTAAGTGCGGGTGAGATGTAACCTACAAAATAAATTTCAATGCCTACTGGTTGAAAACGTTTCTTTGCACCTACTGGCAGAGTGGACAATGCTTTGTGCTAGTAGGCACTGAATAGCAATAACTTTTATGATATGACGTACCTTTCATCCACATCTTTGGAGATATTGATACGAATGTGATTTTCTTAAAATTTTCAATACTGTATCTCATAAACTTTTTGGTTTAAAATGATGTAAAGACCAATTTTCCGAAGTTGTACACTTGAGAGTACTGTGTATATTGTTTTATTCATATCTGCAAGCAGTGAGTCGCAGTCTTTAACGGTTTTTTGTAATCATTCATTTATAGAATAAAAATTAGGATTTCCAAAAGTAATATATTTGAACTTCTTGCATAAAGCAGTAGGCTTGTGAAAAAATTAAATACAGTTTGATTATGCCTCGATAGAACTCCAAAATATAATTACGATGGATTTTCGAGTCGTTATGTTGTGACCAATATTGCACCTGCTTAGCCTTAGCTAGGAATCTTTGATCTGCTGTTGTCGTTCTTGGGCTAGGCTGTGTGGGGCGGACCCACAGGCCTGCACTGATATGTTCATTTTGGTTCTAAAGCCGTAGAAAAGCAGATCAAAGATTCCTAGTTCGGACTAAGGAAATGTGTAACTGGCCAGAGTCATGTGCGTAAGTAAGTGCATAATAACCGGAAAAACCGTCATATTTTAAATATCAGCATAGGCCATGAAAACCTGTAGTTTCTACAGATTATAATTAAAAATAAAATTAGTTTTTCTGTCTTAAAAATAAAATTGTTGAAAAAAGGAGTAATTTAAGATACATATTTTAAATTGTTATTAATTTTTTGTGTCCCACTTTTTTATTCTCCAGTAGGTATAATGAAAGTAATTAGATACTTTTTATTCGTAATACATATGTCCAAAAAGTAATTTAATTTACAAAAAAAATGCTTATCTTGATCAAGGATATTTTTTGCTTTTTTGCATCTTTTATTTCATGAAACAGGCTGCTTTTTCTTGTATAAATTCGAAACGCTTCTGATGCATGCCTAACCTACCACCTAATCTATATCATAGTAAGCACCTATGAGTTATGGTAGCCCCTTATGTATAACCAATAACGTTAAGGATATTGTGACTTTAATTTTTTTTGTATATTTACGAGCAAGTATGTAAAATTAATGCCTTTTCTTCAGTTTCCACTGGATCCATCACAGATGTCGAAAGACGCGCCCTGGTATGTAAATAATGCTTTCGTTACTTTTTGGTATGCCACACTAACCTGCCGTTATCAGTTTTCATTTTCGTTTTTTTTTTAAATTAACCCTTGCTTTGGATTCTTTCACTTAACACGTCTCAGTCACCTGTTCTATCTGCTGTCTCAGTTAAAACCTGAAATTATCATTTGAATAAGAATAAACCGTTTCCTAAACGGCAAAATGTTTTAAAACTCTTAATTTGAACATTGCTATTAGAAGGATAAATTTCTCTGTTTCTCTCGTTATTTTTTTTTGTTAAAAATTAAGAATTATTTTGCTATTTTCTTGTTACTTCTAATACTAAATGTATTTAATGTTGTAGTGTGGTTTATTGCCCGTGTTTTGATTCCTTGATATTATCACATAAAAATAATTGCTTAATAGAAAGCTAGTGTCTATTTTTTATTAGCGCATTACGTTAAACATTCGTATATGTTCAATAGAATTCGTGATTTCTGTAGTAAAGAGAACCCACAATATTTCCAGCACCTTCTACCACATTGGAAAGTAAACTACTATCATCGGTATCACTTTGTTAAATTACAACAAATATAGTCAATCGTTATCAACAAACTATTTTCAAGTGATATGAAATTAAATAATAAATGTCAGTGACTTCGTGTTGCAAGCATTTAAATTAAAATTTTAAAACACCTTAATTGATGCCAGCAAGAAAAATTACAAGTAATTCAGATTATAAACGATCATTATGGTACACGCCGTGTCAATATTCGTGGCTAGTACCGTCGTTGTGGTCCTTATAACACAAATAACTATTTCGAGCTTACTCGCAGACTTATGTGATAATAACGCGAGGAATCGTTGGGACGGTTAATACCCTACAAAGGCTTTTCTTCCTGTTTAGAACTCAGACATGCCAATGTCAACAACGTACACGGGAGGGCTGGGTCGGTACCCGGGAGGGTACGCGTCACAAGTACGACGCTCCCTTCCAAACATGGCGCACACGATGCTGATAAACGAGCCGGCAAAAATCTACCCCTACCACTTGCTTGTGATCACTAATTACCGACTGCCCGCCGACGTAGATAGATGTAATCTAGAGGTGAGTTACTATAGTGGAGGCGCCTGTGTTCAGTCACTTTTAGTAGACTGGTTTTTTCTCGTCTTCATTTTTATCTTATCGAGAAAACTTTCATACTTTTATTTTTGCTTTAAAATTGTTTTTAATTCAACTGTACAGGGTGTTGCGATAAATTTTAAGGTTGATTTCTCTTGTGAAAACAAATAGCAGTAAAAATTTTTCTAAAACTATTCGGAAAAACTCCAATCAGCATTCAATTACACTCACAGATAGTTACGATCATTCATCATTAGAATTGTGAAACAATTGACGACTGATCTATTTATACTGACATCCTTTTGATTTCAGTGAGATATAACCTACAAACCATATGTCATATCTTAAATGTCACTGACACTTAATGCCTACTGGCACAAAACGTTACTTTGTACCTACTGTCGTACTGTACTACTAATAGGTCTGAGATTGGTTGTCTGGTGGTAGTATTAACAAATGATTTTAATGGTATTATTCTTTAATATACTGTAGCGACTGTCATGGGTGTAGCTAGAATTTCTCCTTGCTCAGGGCTGCAAGTTCTACGGAACCTCTAAAAAAAAGCTTTTGCAATCAGCATCTTGCCGAATAAAATTTCAAAAACCTAACACATTTTGATTTAATTCTAAAATTCAGTAACCCCCACCACCACCAACGCCCATGGCCACTATAAGCAAACAGCTTGTTTTTACAATTTTTTGGTAACTGTAACCAATAATATTCCCAAAAGTATCAACTATATTTACTTAAAATGTAACAAAAAAACAAATACAAGTATAAGAGTTTATTTAAACATTACTCTTATGTCTTGTGGTATTTTTTTGTATCTATAAACCTACAGTACTGTAAGAAAATTTCATCACCATAAGTGTTTAATAGTTATTGTGGATGTAATTCATTACATGCTGAAAATTTAGTCCAAAGAGTAGTTGTTTCCTTCAATGTCATTATTTGAAATTGTACCTACCTAGGGATCAGTAGGTCATTTGTCCTAGTAGGTACAAAGCAACACTTTGTTAGTAGGCATCGAGTAGCAGTGACATTTAAGAAACAAAACACTTTGTAGGTTATATCTCGCCCTTATTCCTAAAGGCTCTACCATTACTCAAAAATTGGAAGTTAAACACAGTTTTTGATTGCGTTTGATCGCTGAAGTTTTGGGCTTTGAATTTATGTAAAATTTTTAATCTTAGGGACTTTGATTGTGGATTTGGATGAACCATTCTTAAACAAAACTGTTCACTTGTCATTTTTTCATAAAATTTTATACAAAGATAGTTTCTATGAGGGAATTGCACTGCTCCAAGTTTTAAGTCTGCCTTCAACGCTTCTTGAGTCATTGATCAAAAACCTGTCACAGTTTCACTCTTTAAGGGATCATAGAGCCCCTCATTCTATTATTTGTTTTGAATATTTGTCGCAACTTTGCCGTTATACAATTTATATAATTTACAAATTTGCAGAGACATCTTTCGGACCAAGAATTCGAAGTACTCTTCCAGCTGTCGAGGATGGATTTCTATCGGTTACCGCAATGGCGAAGGAACGAACTGAAGCGCAGAATCCGCCTGTTCTAAATTCACCCAACAAACATTCGCACTAAATTAGCTTATTACCTGTTGCTTCGCTATAATCTCTGAACAGCAAACAGTTAGCGAGAGACGCGTTCGTCGGGCAGCTTGACGTCTGACAGCTTCTCAAGAGAGGCGCCGCGAATTTTGAGTTTGTCATAAAACTGCTCTACAGTTCCTTTACGAATTTTTGTTTTTTATTTTAATCATGTAATTTTATTTCCGTGTTTTAATTTCGACTGGACGAGATTTGCCATAGAATAGGTTAGGGATTTATGACGAACGGAATCGACGGCAAACTGTAAACCTTAGATGTCGCATTACTACAAATTTTATTCGGAAAGTTTTTAATTGAGGATGAAATGGACGGAAAGATATTTTTATACGGTATCCTGTTTTTAACCTTGTCTAATTTTAAATGAATCGGAACGATAATTATTTGAAGAGAGAGAGTGGCTTCTACAAAATATTTCTTTTAGGTCGTAAGTGTATCTTTAGTGTTAAGGATAAAATTAAAAAAAAAAAAGATTTTTAAACTGGCATTATTTAGATTGCTTTAATAGAAATATTGCTTCTTTGGGCTAGTCGTAATTCTTTTGGTACAATTAATGCTGATATGGTGTATATTTTTATATTTATTTAAAAAATATTTAGGGGTTGTATTCTTTTGTGATTAAGAGATATATGTCAGCTGTATCTGCGCAAGATTTCGAGTTTTGGTTCAGCCAACGAGAATGCCTAAATGCAGTAAAACACCGTTTAACGCAGTTTTTAAATTTAGTTTGTAGGATACGAATACATTGTATTATTGTGTTTTAAAGATTGTAAATTGTTTTATTCTTTTAGTTATCCGATATTTTAATATATTTAAATTGTTATAAACCGTATTTATTCAGTTTTGAGGTACCTACTTGAGCATTAGTTTCTTAGATTTGTTAAGCACAGCTCCAATAAATATCGTAAAAGTATGCCCCTGTGTTTTTATTTTACGCTACAAAACGAAATTCTTATATCTCGTTTAAAAAAAGTCATTTTGAAGCTGTTAACACTCCTATTTACTTTTGTTGTTTACCGTTAAAGCTTTTATTCCAAATTTAAAATAATATCCACTTTATTACTTCTTAATCGGGTAAAATAACTTTGTAACTGTAATGTGTTGTTCATTTCGCATAGTGTTCCAATATGTTTAACCTGCGCAGACGCACTTGGAACGTTCTCCCGTTACAAGTGCCTAGACACGATAGGCCTCTTGCACATGCTGGATTTTTTATATTAGTTCACATATTCAAATATGGCCTTATTTAAAATTATTAATTATAAAAACTTTTGCGAGAAATTCTACTCGAAAATTGACTAAATCGTACGTTGAAGTTTGGAGAAGAGCATCCTGTAGGGGCGTGTCATAGAACGAGTTGCTATTGGTGCGACGTCATCGGTAAGTAAACTGGCCGCTTCACATTAGAAAACGATGTCGGTCCTATTACTTCTTATTTATTATTTTTAGTTTACATACGATACGATAACGATACTGATGTTATATTTACTAACTGGTTTCCATTCTATTATGTAGGTATACCTAAATATGCACCTATGTAGCAAAATAATTAAGTCTGTGTAAGTATAATATTTAATTTTAAGACGTTTAGTTGAAGTGAGCTTTCCGCGGGTAGCAAATACTATTTACTACCTAAATAATATTTTGAATCTAAATTTGTTATTTTAAATAATCATAATTAGTTTTTAGTTTTTTAAAAATTCTTAAAAATATTTGTAACATGACGAACAAGGTTACGCTAAAGCCCAATCAGACAATGTCCGAATTCCATGATTGCGGAGTTTTTTCGAAAAGCATTTTATTTTCTTCGGCAGAAATAAGGGGAATAAAAGCAAACAGGTATGAAAATGTGATTTGTAGATATCTACATCAATTTATTTTAAAATATATTTTTTTCTGGAGTTTTTACTGATGTATTTTTTCACACATCGGTACAATGCATCAGTAATAGTATTAGACTAGGCGGTTTCTGTTTTGGTTTGGGTGAATCGTATATCCACGGAGATTTTTGGCTTTCAAATATCACTAAAAATGAAAATTTTTCTATGCTCTCTTAATTGACGGATTCGAATTTTTCAAAAAGCGTTTGAATGCTTGAGAGCCTTCTATAAGTGATTAAATTTTTAAGTATCTTGGTTTTTGCTGTGCAAAATTTTGAAAATTTGCAAATTTTTTTTCAAAATATGAGTTGCAAAAATATTATGCAAAATCTATCTGACTGATTTTGATGAAATTTGGTGTGTTTTCTTGAGCCAAGTATGAAAGTCCCAACCCAATTTAAAGACCTCAAAAAGATTCCCTAAAAAGTAATGTTTTTTAACACCATATTTGGCGATTTTTTCGATTTTTACAATAATCATAATTAATTCGATTTGTAACTAGTCATATTTTGTAAAAAAAAAATATTACAAACATTTTTTTCCTCTTCCATTTTCACCTAAAATCAACTCTTGAAATAAATTGAAATAAAATAGTAAGAAAATTATGACATTTTCGAATTTTTTTAACATATCGTGCCACCAATAGTTAAGCCCACATTTTTTTATGTGCATAAAAAAATTTTCATTTCTAGTCGTATTTGTAAGCTAAAAATCTCCGTGGATATACGATTTACCCAAATATGGACTTTTAGAAACAGATGCTGTCGGGACTATTTATATGATTTAGAGGGATTTGCCATAGTTATTATAAGTTTAACTTCACAAATTTACAGTATACAGGGTCGGAAAGTTCCCATGGTTGATCGGCCGTTACGTGAGAGCGATAAAGAAAGTCATAGAAATCCGCGCGATAGAGAAAGATGGCTATAATGAAGGCGTCTAATAGTCACTGCCCATTTCGCCCTTCCACAAATAAGATCCACTTCTTATTTGTGGAAATGCTGTCGTGCTTGCCATTTACTTACCGATGACGTCAACGTATCGACATCCCAGTCCATGGCGTTTGCGCGCGAAGCGAACCGATTAAAACTAATATCTAATAACTTTTTAAAAATAAATTAAAATAACAAAACCTTTACACATTGTTTGTAGTATTCATTGTAGATACAAAAACTAATAAAATATGTTTTTCTGCAAGAGGCCTATTGAGGCTACGTGGTTTAACTTGTGTCCAGGTAAGACATGTCACTGCTTGTCATAAGCGTACAAGTTGGAAAGACGTGTTATTATTTTCACGTTTTAGTTATTCCAATAAGTGTCGTTAAAAATAAGTCATAGGTAGGTATTAGTGGTCGGTCGGTTTATCTATAATCAGGATAGTCGTAAAAGACCGAATTTAACAAATTGAGAGGATTGTATTATAAACAATGCGGTTAAGGGAATTCAAGCTCCGAAGGTGGAAATCTCTGTTAGAAATGTTCCTGGTGTGTTAAAAAGTGGTGGGATGTAAAAAGCAAATAGTGAAACACTGATCCATAGCAAGAATCACGGATTTTATTTTAAAAATTAGTGCCCGACATTGAAAAAATTTAAACTCAGTCGCAGAAGAAAATTTGCTAGGTTATCCCGAAAAGTTTACTGCTTGCTATGTTTGAAATTAATTGTCTTTTAAAATCGTAAAACTAAAATATTAAAAAATGATAGTGTCGTACATCGAATATTTATTATCTTTGTTTGAATATTAGCAGGTGAGCAACATTTTTAAAAGGATTTTCTACGAGATTAAAGGCATCCTCTGGAAAAGGGCAAAGATTAATAAATAATTACACGTGGATTTTTGGATAATGGTTTACATAAGTTCAAGTTACAGCAAACGGGAGATTAAGTACCATGGAAATTTTTTACTGTATGTAGAAAAACCTTAAAATATCTTTATTTCATCGTGACGTTTATCAAATCGTTGAAATTTTACAGCGATAATACGATTGCTTAAAAAATATCGGGTTGAAATCAATAAATGTCAGATTAACAAACAATTTACTTTGTATTAATAAAAATTTCATAGATTTGGTAGTGTTTCCGATGATTTAATGAAATTGCATTAGAAAATACACCTAAAAACAATATTAAAACTAAGAAACTTTAATAATTGTAGTTTTAAATAAAAAAGTTGTGAAAAGTTATCTTTCCAAATCCACCCCAAAATCCTGATAAATATATGGCTGTTTCTCCTTTACATCGCGTCGTTGGTAATGTCGACTGCTGCAGCGGGATGATTTGGGCTGCTTGGAGCGGTTGTCAGCTCGATGACGGGAAATTTGGAAACTGCAATTTCCGTGGTGCATCGTCCTGGATGTTTATGTGGACTGCATCGGTCTTTGACGGTATTGACTGCTGTGGCTGGTAGGGTTGATGGCTGCTCAGAATGGCTTTGGGTGCGAGGATCGAAAATTTTGGAAAGTAACGTGAAACTTTCAATTTCCGCGCCTTGCACTGTGCATCTCTGTCTTGAGGCTCTGGTTCCTTTGGGACATCGTCCTCAGTTCTAGCTAAGATTAGCCTGCTTGGAACTATTTTTATTTATTTATTTAAATTATGTTTTGATGGCTTTGTGGTACCGATTGGAAACATGAGTGAATTTTTGAAATCCGCTGGTGACCTGTAAGTAAAAATACGTAAAAATATCAAACGAAGTTTAGAGTTTAGACGAGGTTTAAGTATCATATTAGCGATGTTTAACATGTATTTTTCTAAATTTTCTGGAATGAAATCTCAATATGAAACCACACTTGAAATAATTCCCATTTTCCTCTTCTCTTTTGGCATTTTAAATTATTTATACCATGCCCTTAACTAATAGTTAATAGAGATTATGTAATTATTCAATTATCTGTGTATAATAGTTATTTAAAGCACACGACGACTACAATACAGTAATTTACGTCAATCCACATTTTCCTTCTTATCTTCATGATGCAGTGCAGATGAACGAAGTCATGCAACAACTTATGGACAATGCCCAGTAAACCATAACCATAACCGTGAGTGAAAACTGAGAAATTGAACCGAGTCCGACTCAATTAGGTATAACTTTCTTAGAATTAATCACATTTGACACCAAGATAGAAAGTCATTGGCAAAAAATTTAAAGGCACGCCCCCCGTCGCAGTAAATTGTTACAGTAGTTCCGATAACAGAACTTTATTGGCTTATTCTTGGAATTCTAGCTCAACAAATATCGTTGTAGACTGTAGGAAAGAAACGGTCGCCGAATTAACCTACCATACAGAAAAACTTTGTTAACATAAAATTAAACAACACTTATGCTCCTCTGTAATACTGGTTGCATAACAGACATCGTTATATATAGGTACATATATTTTATTTTTAAGGCTAACCGACCGTTGTATTATATATTTTAATTTATATTTTCTATTATTATTTAAAACAAAAATCGGAATTGAAACCTAAAAATCTTTATAAAAGCAAACCAACCATATTAAAAATGAGTAGATCCTTCTCCGTTCTCTATAAATTAATGAACTGGCGGGAGTTTTAAATTTCTTAGAAAAATAGTTTCTTCGCATCTTTACATGTAAAATACATATCACTATCACTAGTACTACTTTGTTTTAAGTAATATTGAAAACTACTGTATATTGCTTACATAGTGATGTGTGTCAAAAATTATTATCGACAACCATGATACCTACTATGAAATTTACCATTTTTTCATTTCATCGAAGAATATTCATCTCACATACGACATTGCCGTTAAATCTAGATTTTTGCTACAAGATATATTTTATAAATGGAAAAATGTTTGTTCCTGTAGAGAAACTATTGGACACAAATTTCAAAAATTATATTTAATTTAGTAAATATTTACTGACTTATAAAATACAAAATAATAAATTAATGACACGATGATAGCCTCTAACTAGGTACCGTTTTGAATTACATTACAAGTAAATACCCATGGGATTTCCCCAGTATCTAATTTATTTAAATTGTGCAATATTTAGTATGCTGTCTGCTATTGTGTTAGTTAAAGAACGCATATCTCACTAATTACAAAAACAACTCTTCACTAGATGAAATACAGTTTTATCTACTCCTGCGTTATTAGATCAACCCTTGCTTTATCTCATAAAAATTTAAACATAACTATAAGGTGTTCTCGAAATTAAAAATAAAAATACATTGAAAATAATATTTGTCAAAGATTTAAAATTTTATAAATATATTTCAATAATGCGTGATTTTGCGCTACTGCTACATACTTTTCTATGAGATTAAAATGACCATTTATTTTACGACCTGACCAATTAAAAACGAATACTAGCGTCAAGGTGACTTGCGCTTTGCGTTGCACACTTCTGCAATGATGCGTCCACGACTATATAGTGTCAGAGGCCCAAACCAAAATTTGATCTCTACGCAAAACTTACGTCTCGAAGTATAGGTTGTGCTAAATTAAAAGTTAAACTATTTTTACATTTCTTTGTTGACTGAAATATTGTACAGTAGAGAATATTTCAATCAACGATTTTATTTATATACATAGATATATGCATTTTATGTGTAACGATAATAATTATTGTCAGTGGCGGTTTTACCATAAGAGCTGCGGAGCTGCAGAACACATAAAATTTTATGTATTTAATCATATTAAATTTAAAGAATCCAAATGTACTCGCGCTAAAATAAATCTAGGAGCTTATATTATTATTTATTGCGACGCGAGCTACGCTCCTTAATATATGCAACCTCATATACACAATGTGTGGACAGTGAACAATTATATGCGTCCTTTGTTTTTATTGGCTGATCAGGCACGTGACCCAGTACACGGAGATAGGGGCTTTTGCGGCTGCAATAGTGACAGCCACTGCGGTCTGCGCTGCAGTCTGCAGTAAATGCACTTAAATGCAGTAATATTTCGTACGTGGTATGTGGTGGTTTATTTCTGCGAGCGGCACGTGTGAATATTTTCGTTTAGGCGTCTACGGTATTATAGTTATTAAAATGAATAGCGTTTCGTTTAAAAAAAAACTTTATTTGGTTCTCTGCCTTATGAGGATAAACTAAAAATAAAAGAAGTAAAAGTTATAAAAAAACAATAATGTATACACAAAAGCAGAGTGGGTGTGCGGGTGTGATTTAAAATATTCACTGTTTTGTTTTCCGTGCTTACTTTTCGGTGGGGATAAAGCATGGACAATATACAGTGTGAAAGATTTAAGTCATTACGTCTTTAGGTAAAATAAACATAAGAAGTCAGTTAGATTCTGCATATTGGGATAATATACGGAAACATATGAACAGGTAATGAAAAATCGTCATGTATTATATTTAAAATCATAGATTGCATAAAATTTTGCGGAGCTTTCGAATTAGCACTTCTCGGACACGACGAGACAGAAAATTCGGACAACCCTGATGTGTTTCGTGGACTCATAAATTTTAGTGTAGATCTTGACGACATTTTAAAAGAACATCTAGCCACATTGGTATGACCGGGATTTTCTGTGATTGTACCGGGAATTAGCTGTATGGTCCCGGATTTCGGATTTGCACGTATAACTCCCGGAATATAATATAATGTACATATATATAAAAAAAGATAAAGAAAAAATCATAACACGCCGAGGAAAATTAAAATTCGTTGAATCGTTGGTAAATTTCACAAACGATTTTTTTTTATAAACAATATTCAATAATTTAATAAAATATATTTAGTTTATTCCAATTTATTATACCATCAGTAGGTAATTCGTAAATGGATATTTCAAAAAGGTATCAATTTAAAAAATCATTCTTGTGAAAATCTGTATTTTTTTATAAATTCATTGTTCCTTGAAATTCAGAAGTGCCAGGAAAACGCGTGACCTTGAAAATTTTAAAATTTTTCGCCTGCGGCGCCATTTAGAGACTCCGGGCACTTAATATCCCGGAATTCAATTCAACAAATATAACAACCCTAAGCAGAACACATTCAATCAATGTTCACGCGTCGCCACTGATTATTGTGTTATTAATTGTGTATATATGTGGTTAACCAGACAATGTAAGATAATGTTATCTGAAATGTCTACGAATCTGAAATACATCATTTACAAATTAACGTTTTGAACCAATTTTCAGAAAAAAAATTCTTAATACAAAAAACCTTTTTTATTTAAAGCATTAAAGCATAAATATGATAGCGCGTATTTTTCTCTGGAACATCCCATTAAGATGCATGTGGACTAGATTCCACTCCACGTCATCAATATGGATACAATAAGATATTAAACACAATACAAATTCAAGTTGAACTCATTAAGTTGAATGTTAAACACGATCACGCTGTTAGATTATCAAATTATTAACTATCAAAAATTAAACATCCATTCGAATTTTGCATTCTATTCTATTATTGTCTTAGTGCAAGCAATTTTATTTCATCACGTTGGCGGCGTCAAGCTAGATGTCCCACAGACTGCATTCTCAGTTTTCTTCCCTGTAATTGGGTATCTTGTACGGCAATATATGTTAATATACATAATAACCAATGGAACAAATGAGTTGTAGAATAAAAATTGACAAAATATACAACAGACAGGTATAAATAATATTCACAAATTTCCCTTAGGGAATCCGACCCATAGATATTCGAAAGTAATAAAACAATGTCGGGAACAAACTGGAGTGCGCGCGGTGGATGCGCGTGGAAACTCCACGCCGCATGACAGCAGCGTGAAGGAGGGGATATCAGTTTCTCTTTCTGTTGGTGAGGAGCGTGGTGGTATTTCGCTGCCCTAAATTTTAGTGATATATCTTTCGCAAAATCTGTAACAATAAATTGTCATTCAAAAACAAGAACCACATTTACTAACCCATCCACTGGTACAACAAATAAGCGCACTATTATGAATTCGGATGATTATGAAACACTTCCCACAGACAATGTTGTTACGCATATGATAGCCGGATGCATCGCGGGGGTTATGGAACATTGCGTAATGTACCCTCTCGATTCCGTCAAGGTACGTAAAAAAGTCCCATTTTATCGCTCTGTTTCAAGCATTTTCATTTAGAGGGGCTTTATCAAACGTCACATGAGTTTTTAGGTTAAGTGGCGGGTTAAATTACTCCATTTCCTTTTTTGTGATTTTTTAGACGAGGATGCAATCTTTGACAACCTCCGGGTCTGAGGGAATTGGAGAAACTTTCCTAAGGATGGTACGACACGAGGGCCTCCTGAGGCCTGTTCGAGGGATGTCTGCCATGGTTGTGGGGGCCGGTCCCTCACACGCTTTATATTTCAGTAGTTACGAATACCTCAAGAACACTTTGACACAGTATACGAACTCGCAAAGGTACCACACATTAATTTATGGTAAGTGAAGACCACTTTTTTGTTTCATAACGCCGCTCCTAACCTAAGATTTTTTCAAGGCCTTCTGGGATAAACAATTTCTGAAATGAGTTTAATAAAACAGTAATCAACGAAATACGCTTGTTAAATCTTAAACTAATGATATATTTATTTATACCAGCTTTGAGTTCTATATTTGGTAGTTTCTGCCTTTAATTATGTAAATATTATGTAGAGATGGGCAATGGGAAATTTTCCGTTCCGGAAAGTTTCCAAAACGGAAATTTTCCAGGAAGAAATAATCGAAGCTTGAGAAATTTTCCCTGGAAAGTTTCTGAAAAAAATTCTGTCGGAAATTTTCCGGGAATATTTCTAACAATTTGTAAAGTTGGAGCCAATTTTACTTCTAACTTCTATGAACATACACAAAAAATCGTTGGTTAATTTCGGATTTTTGGTTAATTCGGAATACCAGAAGACCATATTATCCAAATAAGTTAGAAAACACTTACTTATTTTAATCTTTGTTAAGTCTACAATCTACATAATAGAGAGCAGTACTAGACTCATAAATTGCCTCCTTTTCAAATTTAATATGAATTTTGATGGTTGAACCAAAGTACAGTTACATTTTAAAACTAGTATAATTATTTAATGTATTTACTATTTGTTTGTTAAAAAATAAAGATAAGCATTGTATACTGTATAGTGTTTACGCACTGTAACCCTCAGCATGTAATTTTTTTCTAACGGATGATTAATACATAATTTATATTTTTCCAATATTTGTACCAATATAAATAAAAATGTATATAAGTACCTATTTGGTCTTTTTGGAAAGCTGATGGTATGTAGAACACAATACCAAATCCAAAAAAAAATTTTTGAAAATTTCGGAAAATTTCCGGAATTTTCAATGGAAACTTTCCAGGAATTTTCATAGTTTGGGAATTTTCCCATCTCTAATATTATGTATACTTAGGTTATGAATTCTCATGAATTAGCTGAATATCAGAGGTAATCATTGCTCCATTTATATAATAATTGTTTACTTATAAATAGAAAAATAAAACGGCGTGTTGATAACATTATAATTAATTGCTAAATTAAGATTTTTAATATACAGAAGCAAAAACTTAAGAGGATTAGGTGTGTAACCTTGTTTTATTCAAGTAGTATTAAACCTACATAATTTCTAGTTTCATACAAAGAAGGAAGTAATACTTAAGAAAACAATTTTAAATGATACAAAAGTTAGTGTAAATAATATAATGTGGAACAGTTTTTTCATTGTTAATATACATCAGGACAAATTGCAAGTTAATTTTTGCAACCATATGTTGATATATAATTGATAGATATAATAAATATCAGCTGTCCGGCAAATTGTGAAATCCAAAAAATTCAATGCGTGTGGCTTTCATTAATTAACAAATCAGCAAATCAATGAAAGTCATACATTTAACATATAATAAGCATTCTCATTGACTTTGTATTCTGTTTATTATTCAATGGAAAACGTAAATTTCAGTTACAATATGTAGCGTTATATGATACTCTCTAATCTTTTCCTCAAAACTTGAGGAAACAGGATAACTTAATTGTATGGGTAAGATATCCAATACTTAGATGTATTGAATTCAAGACAAATTATGCTTCAATGTTTTTTTCAATGTGTTAAATTTGGAACGGTTCGTAGAAAATTGATGGGAGAGTGAAAACAATTATTTATTAAGAAAATTTTTATCAGAACAATGGATTAAAGGGGAAGTCTGTGTTTGATGTTGTTAAACTAACACGGTTATCATATCTGTTATAATTATTTATTTAAGAACATTGTTTTATACTGAAATTCCTCAACAGAACTCATTTAAGGATAGTTATAACTGGAAAAATTTATATCGCCATAAAAGAGCACTGGAAACATTCAGCTTTTGGAGTATACTTTTACGTTTTTGTTCATTTACATACAAAAGTAAATTGTTTTGTATTTATAAGAATTTTGTTCATCTTGGCTCCACTTAACTTTCTTAATTATTCCTAATAGTACACCAAAATATTAATGTTTACTAAAAATGTTAATAGTTCTTTACGTCGTGGACGAAACGGCTATTTTAGGAACAGAAATTAACATTAAAAAGTAATAAAGTAGTTTTGGGTTCGAACAGAGATTTTGATGATAATAATTTTAATGTATTCCAGAGAATTGTGTAGTAGATAGAAATTTGTTTGTTACGGCATTGAAGACAGACATTTTGGTGTCTCAGATACCAGAAACTGACCTATGTTATAAGAATTTGTATTGACGGGTAGATTGGAAATTTCCTACTTAAGGTTTGGAAATATTTTCTATTAACAAGTTGGATTTCAGTAGAAGTCCTTGGTAATTAATCGTTTGAATTAAATTAAGCTTCAAACGAGTTTAAAAATGTAGCCAAGAATATATTTTTAAATCTAACGAAAATATCTAAATTTGTGGGCATATTATTTTTGTTTTATTACTTAAGATAACATCTGACTATGTCATTATCATTGATTTTTGAACTAGTGCCTTCATTGTGATGTAGCAATTAATATTATTTATTAAATTTGTATTAGTCATTTTCTGTTCATCATGTTTGTTTAAAACAATGTCGTGATGATAATGGTATTATCGTAATATGGTCATGCGAAGAAAATTGTAAATTCCCATGTTAATTATATAGATTTATGTAGATGTGTTGGATGACAACTTTTCTGAGGATTAAGCTCATTATTTTAAAATATGTGTTTTGCTAGTGCATGAGAATAAAATTGACAAAAACAGATGTATTTTAGTAAAATTCTGTGCAGACGAAACCGTCACAGTCTTGTGGTTAAAAGAGATGATTTAACTAAACCTAAATCTATCCAAAGCTTTATTTAACCACTAGAGACAAAGTTGAAACAAACTTTTGGTTTTCTCGAAATGAATAAAACGGTTTTGTGTGATTAAAATAAAATATATGCCTCTATTGTATATTCTCTCTATAGTTTTAGTATTTCTAACAGTTTTTGCATTAATAATTAATTTATTGGTCATCAATTCTTTTTCGTTACAAAACTGATGTAATTGTCATAAAAAATTTGATTTATTTGGTAACAGCAAAGTCAAAAAGGCTTCGTGGAATTCAGAAACTTGTATAATATTTTTATACGAAAATTATTGGAAATGTTCATCATTTCCTTCAACATGCATTACATACATAAAATAAAATGTTCTAAATTTGGCTTATGAAAGACGAGCTATGAAAAATAGTTTAAAGGGTATTCAGTTCCGAGAACGCAGCGTCTATTGCCAAACTTGCATATTAATAACATGGTTGTAGATAAAGCTCATGAAAATTATTTTATATTTACACCGTTTTATGTTATCATTTCGAGGGAAAACCATTTCTCTACACGTTCTTCTAAAAATAGATTGTTTTTCCGAATTGTCGGTGTGCCAGTGTTTTTTTATAATTTATCACGTATCGGATAAGGCATAACTCGTGATATGGAATGACAAACTTTCAACTGCACTCGATGAATTTAAATTTTCCTTGGGTACCGTTTGGTTTTCGTTCGAAAATAACCAGATGTGTCGATACATATTACTTTAATGGAAACCAGGGACACCGATTTAAAACATCTGGTCAGTAATATCGGAGTGACTGAAAAATTATTTAAAATTTGGTTTTAAGGAAATTTTGATGAATGCTGTATTCAAGAATTTGAATAATTAAATTAAAATTAAAAATTAAAATAGTTGACATATTTCACAGAAATTTCTTTATACAGGGCGTATACAGGTCTCTTTTCTTAGAAATATATCCCGTTCACAAAAGATTCAGTGACATTCTGTGATTCTTAATGACGGCAGTAGCCAGTATCTCCGCCAATAGTTGATAATACGTACAAAATTTTTTGCTTACAAATAAAAGTTAAATCATTAGCGCAAGTTTTATCAATCTACGTTCAACGTTTTAAGAGACATTTAAATAAATGAGACACTTTTTTTTTAATTTCAACTCTATCTTTCGAACCGTTTTACGATTTGTTTATATGAAAATTTTTTCTTATTTTGAGGTGTTTTAACGCTAGGTAAAGTTTGACGATGGGAATTCGGGACACCCTGTATTACAAAATAAAACAAATCGAATTTAAGGTAAAACTACAACTTATGGAAAATATCAAGATACATTTAAAGTCATCTTCATGGGAAAATTTGGTATAGAGCACCCCATTTTGTTTATTAAATTAAATAAAGCAGTTGCCCGTATATCCGTTACTGGATGCTTAGAGGTCATGGTATTACCACATATTAAGTCATCTTTCTGGGTATATGATTTGTACCAAATTTAAGTTGAATGAAAAAAATAAATAAAATAAATTTTATTCCAACAGACCAAGCAAAATAGTGTGGGAAATAGTCAAAGTAGAAAATTCAAACGTATATTTTATTTACATTATTTTGGAAAATATGAAAATATAAAGAATACAATTTTTATTTCAACTCTTATCACCGTGTACATCGAACACGAAGCGTTTTTAGAAAGAATGTCCATATGAAAAGTAGTTTTTATTTCCCTGTACGACGCTAAATCTGATTCACCCTGTACGAGACAAATATTTTCTGTGCAATACCTATACAGGGTGGGCCACCAGTAACGCCTCGGTCGCTAGTGACCAAACGGCAAATGTTACAGAAACCTGTTTAGGTGGGTATGTGTAGGTTGATTACGGCTACATTTTAAAAATATTTTGAAATATACAGGGTGTCCAGGAAAAGCGTACCATATCAAAGTTATGTTTTTTTAAATGGAACACTCTGTATTTTACTGCATTTTTGAAAGCACCGTAAACAAATAGGTGAACTTTATTAAAGGTTCTGCATACCTAGGACTTACAGTTTGTAAGATATGTCAATTTTAGTGAAAATGCAGGCATAGCGTAGAAATTTAATATTAGCAATAAAAAAATAATTTTCGATTTAAATAATTTCTCACTGAATATGAAAAATT